GGCCCCCCCCCCCCCCCCCCCCAATAGATCTAAAGTCAGTCAGAGTTATTTAAAACCCGTTATTGATGAGGTGACACCTTTTTTCTGATCGCCAGTTGAAGAAGGCGACTATCGGTTCGGGCCGCATTGATGGAACGCGCTGTTTTCGTGGTAAGCGAGCGCATGCGCGGTAGTTTTACCGCATGCTTCACTTTGGATGCGGTGCTGTGGCCGCACAGAGGCTGGCGGCGGCAGAAGAACACGAACAACCCTACGTGTGCGCTCGCACGAGCGGTGAAACAGCCGCACGGCGACCATTTTATGTATAACGGAGCAGGAGAAAAGGACAGTTCGGCGACATCGGTGTACACTGACAAAAGCTGAAGGGGAAACTGCGAATAGAAGCTCACACAGCGACAGTGTCAACAAAATCTTTACCTCGACCTATCAGCCTAGAGCGCACGCCAACTGTCTCCACAAAATCCATCTCCCAACTGAAAAGAAAACGCAAGAAATGCGTTTATTTCACCGTCCGCGTGCACAGGTTGCGGCTGAATAGCCCTAAGCTGTTCAGTAATCGTCCATAATTCCTTGAGCACGTGTATATCTGGCTTTTTCTCAGTTACATCTGCATCGTGGAGCTGGATGAATGGAAATGTGGGTTGGATGGTAGCTGGCCAGAACTTGATTAGATGGATAGGTGACCGTCATAATGCAACGGCGGTGTTGATTAAGGGCAAATATCAGAAAGGGAATGAAGTCTTATTGCCAAATTTATTTTAGCGAAGGTAACGTGCCCATTGGAATAAACTGCACACGCAGACAGACGGGGTCCTTACAAACCCGAACTTCCTCCAGTCTAAAGGACACAGCATGTGCGCCCATAAAAGAACCCAGTACCTGGTGTTGGGATCCCCATCTCTTTTTTGCCTCATAAAACACAGAGAGAAAAATTATGGGTCGACGGCACTGCCATGTGACATCCACTTTTCTTGTCGAGTGCTACTTGGTGTGGCGTAGAGCGGTTGCTACAGGGTGCGTAGAAATTTGTTCCCCACTCGATGAATCGCTGCCAAACTCCACACGTTTCCTCCGTTCTAACGTATTCTGTGCCGAAAGTCATCTTTCAGATGTCTCTGTTATGACAGGAGGCTTCTTCGTCTCAGAACAGCCGATGTAATTTCGGAGTGCATTTTACAATTTACCTTATTCTTTGTGAGAAATGTTCATAACAATGCGTCCATCCATTGTTCCAGTCGTTATTTCTTACATTAATTAAAATTTGTAAAGACGCATAAACATGCGTGTCAGACATTTTCGGGATACTTTTGTGTCCCCAGCTCGAGTATTTTTTGCCCTTCAGCTCGTTCTTCTACGGTAAAAATGTACACTCAGGTTTCCGTAACGCCAGAGCAGTTTAATACGATGACTTGCTTTTATTTGCCAGAACGCAAGAAACACGAAAAGTTATTCTTTCAACACCCTCCCTCGTCCCAAAATATAATTGCATGAACATGATCTGTCTGAAAAGTTGTGCGCGATCATAATATTTCATGTTCTTCATCTGTTGTCACTTTTAAAATTATTGAAGAACATGAAAATGAAGCGAGGTTCTCACGTCGGCCAATATGAGAATGTCTTTTAGCATGATGCGCCATATATCGCCCTGATGAAGGCAGTAAGCACGTCTGAAACGTCGGTCATTTTATACTAGACTACGAGGCGCAACATCCCAGAGGACAATTACTTTCAAGAGACATTTTTATTGGAATAATCTTGGAAACGTCGAAGTTCTGAGGTTTTCATGAAGGTGATTATGTCGACTGTGGTTCTGTGGGTTGTAACATCGTGTATATTGTAAGACTTGAGGTTCTCACAGCGGTGAATATGAAGATTTCTGTCTTCTGGGTTGTTGCGCTGTGTAGTCTGGTCGATGTTAACCAAGTATCGCCTTGATGAAGGCAGTAAGTACGTCTGAAACGTCGGTCATTTTATACTAGACTACGAGGCGCAACATCCCAGAGGAAAATTACTTTCTAGAGACATTTTGATTGGAATAATCTTGGAAACATCGAAGTTCTGAGGTTTTCACGGAGGTGATTATGTCGACTGTGGTTCTGTGGGTTGTAACGTCGTGTATATTCTTGTGTGTGGTTGCCAGCGTTTCGGAGGAATATATCACCTACATATCCCGAGGGTGTTTGAGATACGTTCTTTCGAATCGTTGATAACCACCTGCGACATTAGATTATACAGCATTACAATCCTACAAACCCACAATCGACTCTTGAAAAGAGATCAGTGTTATTGAGAGCAATCAGTAATCACTGTGCTTTAAAGGGTCCGAAACATAGTTTTAACGATGTCGAAATTTGCCAGTCTTAAACTCAGATTTAATCGAGGTCTTCAATGCTATGTTCTGTATGGCAGTAGCTGATAGAGGCACGAAAGTTTTCCGCATTAAACCACAATTGAAACGACAGTCTAACTTTCTGCGTCTTCCTCAAAGTAAATACGTTTACATTTCCAACCCATCGTAACGCGAATAACAGCATAACAAAATCGTGAGACATTAAATTGTTCCATCGGACAACAAGCCTTAAGCTTCCTGTCTGATCATTTGCAGTGCCCACAAGATTACTGCAGTCGTTTCGATGTTTGAACATCGTCAGAACAGCTGATGAATCCCTGCATTATATCCTCGAATTTATCTGCCTGTAGGGTTCGGTGATCAAACTTTTGTTTCTACTGAAACGCATTCGATCTGCTCTTACGAGCATTCATCATAAAGTGACTTTAGTTGCACAGGCCAGTGTCGTGACCGTATGAAATGGGCGTGTTTCTTTTTTTAAGTATTATAGCTTTCGTCCAGTGTTCGAAGGCAACCATAAAAAGGGACTGATAATGATCTATTATTGGGGCCATAGAAAAGGGCAATTCCACTCACCACAAACGATACCATCTAAATTGAAGTCTTACGTGCCTCGTAAAATCTCGAGTTTTCAAAATGTTTACGTTCCTTCTTGTACGCAACCTCCACCGTCTTAGAACATGAATATTCGCCCACAATATGCGCCCTGCTTTCAGATGTTTAAGATAAATCCATACAAAGAGTTATACATTCGAATTAAAGCAATTTGTACTACACAAACCTCTAAGTAGTTTTCGTATAGTATGCACTGAAAATGCTTCAGAAGTTTTATTAAATTTACTTATCATAACTGTTCTTCAAGAAACGTGAAACATAGATAAAATTATATGAAATTATATTTGTTAACTCTACCTTTTAAGGTATTAATGTGTGTGCTCTAACTTTATTCTGATGCAGAATATTAAAATTCGTCTCATCAATTGCGTAACAACTGTGAACACCATTTCACTTAGATGTTCGAGTAGTTAATTTGTCTCCCTAAAATTCCATTATGAACTGACATTTATTAACATTATTAGTAAATAATCAGAAACAGCAGTTATTTATTTTCATTAAAAAATTATGTGACAGTTTTGAATCACGATTCCAGTGTGTTTAAAATCTCGGTGTGCTATTGGACTCGAAGCTATATTTTCACTAGGAAATTGATTAGCTTCTTTCACAAGGTCTAAAAACCCTGGGTTTGATTCGGTACATTACGTTCTTATTCTTCTCCTCCACTCTTCATCAGTCGCCTTTTGGGTTTTTGCAGTGGCCTCGTTTGCTCAAAGATTGAATACGCTCCTTGGCTCGAACTCTGTTACGCCGGAACACTAATCAGAATTTGAGAGAATTCAAAGAGAATTCGCTGCGTTAGGTTGAAAAAGATTATTAGTGGCATACTGACTGTGATTTCATTTCTTAACATCCCGATTTAGGAGGAGGCATCTTGATGCTCTTTTCTTATTAATGTTCTTAAAAATAAAATTTGTCGCGCATACCCACTACGTCAGAGACTTAAATTTGAGGTTACTTCTCCTGCCAACTTTTTCTAGGACTGATTATTTTACGGAAATCCAAACAGACGAAACGGAGTCCTCGCTGGCTGCCTTGGGTTTTCTTTGCAGTCCGTGGCGTGTTCCAGGTTGTCGGCTGTCTCCGGTCGCAATGTTTCAGACGCGATGATGAGTGGCCCGTCGCAAGTTCGGTTTAATCCAATCGCAGTCGTCTTCGTGTTTCAGGGACCTGTGCCACGATGCGTGGAACAGGCTCAGGTTGTCGCCGATGTTCGGCTGCATCTGCCCGAACAATCACATGAAGCGCCGATGCGACAGGATCTTCAGCATCGTGAACCACAATCCTTGCGTGGGTAAGTGACCGCTCTCTCTCTCTCTCCCTTGCCAGCCCGTGCTTATTTTCGTTTATACAGAACTGAATTTCTTATCTTAGTTTTGTTGTAAATGACAACGTTGAAGAGTTTACTTATTTTCTTCTGAGTGTGTACATGTGCACTGTAATGAAATATGTAATGTGAGTTTTCAGTGCCTTTCCATTTTAAATGTGTGTTATGTTTGTTTGTTTGTGTGTTTGTGTGTATGTGTGTACACACACTACACACACTTATTCGCAATTGCCATTTTGTTCATATAATTGATCAAGTTATTGATTGAAGTTTTGTTTTCCACTTGCATCGTTCGAATTTCAGGCAGTAACTGAATCATATTCGCATTTGTAAGCTGGGAGTTCCAGTGTTAAAACACGTATTTTGATGCTCAGAAGAAACCAACATTTTTGCCAGTTTCCAGAAATTGTTTTCGTGTGTTTCTCTGTTGTTTCTTTACGCTGAGCATGTCGGCCATCTTCGCCAGCTTGTTGCATGTCGGTGTCGGCGTCTGATTCCTCCCCACTCGACGCTTGTTTCTTTAAAATCCTCTCTCGTATTCTTTGACTTGGCATAATTTCGATCTGTCCTTTATCTAACTTCACTGCACTTCTCGCATTGTTTAGAAGAAGGCGAAAATCTGACGAACTCTTAAGTTAATTGTAGGCCTACTGAGTGAAGACGTTTCATGTACTCTGGACTGCTCCCTCCACAGTCAGAAGTGTGAATCCGTCCCTACATTAATGTCATTTTCGTAAAAATGACAGAATCTTTTTCATGCATATTTAATTTACTATTTCCAAGACGTCAACCTGAGGAGTCGACGACCTCTTGTGTTTGCAGTGTCTTTCGTTCCTTTCCTTCTAGCGTGTGTAAACTTTCGGTGACAATGTATTTCAGTGGGAATTCGAAATATTCCTTATGCCTGTCGTAATTAAAATACACCTTACGCACAGTCAGTTCACAATTTTTGTATATTTTATTGATAGATATTGTAATTCTACACGACTGAGTAATGATAAATTCACAGTTTAGCTTTTTTATTAATGCAATTTGAAGATGTTAATTTGTGAAGGAAAAAATTGTTGTCATTGTTTGTGCTTTCTTCTGACGTCGAATTCTTCACACGGAAACCGTAATTTGTGCTTAATGTCACTGTTGCATAAATAGCCGTGCTAAAATGGATTCTTTGTGCTTCTCAATAATGTTTATCGCACAACTAAATGCCTGCACTGTTATTGCAAATGGCGTGTGCGAAATAACCGGGAAGAACCAATAAGGAGAAGGAGGTTGTTGTGTTGTGTTGTGTCGAGTCCTTAGATATTGGCGGAGACCGTGAGAAATCAATGGTGTTAGCTTATTGGCAGGTGCATTAGAAGAACAAAGCTTAGAAAAAGGGAAAAGTCTCAAAAATAAAACAGGAATTAGAAAGACGGAGAATTTGGAGGGGGGGGGGTGGATAAGAAGCTATGAAAGAGAAAAGATAACTGGCATTTTGCAATGAATTGGAAGTAGTTGGGAAGAGAAATTACATATAGAAGTACGTACCCTAGAGGCTGGAAGATGTGTGGGATGGTGGAAAATGGGCGTCTGGAGATGGAAGGGTGCTAGGGGAAATATAGATCAGGGAACGGTCCCCACGTGTAATAAAGAATAAGGCTGGAGCCACATTCTGAGACGTGAGGAAACTGTAAGTTGAAGAGAGGATCTCGTAGGCAAAGGATTGGAAAGTATTGATTTGTAAATGGAATTCAGAAGAATATTTACAATTAAATGCACTGAGCAACTGCAAAAATATTGGGTTATATTCAAACACGTATAAAGAGTAATGGATTATTTATAATCGCTGGTTATTTTCTCCGTAGGCCTGACTAGACGAGGCCACGTGCGAGTTCTAGGCTTGGAAGGATTAATAACATTAAATTAAGGGAAAGGACGCAGGTTATCCGTAATGACCTTATGCTTAAAAGGAGGATATTTTCTGGCTTCTCAATGAGGACTGCGCTTATTAGGTGTACTCGGTTACAGCTGCATCAGAAACGAGTTGTTTCAGGGGCAAACAGCCTGAAATGCTGTCGCGCCATTGTGCTGAGCGTTGAGAATTTTACTCCGTTATGTGCAATTACGCTTTGTAAGCCTAAGAATTGAAATATATTATGTGCGTTCCGCTCTTCTTCGGAACAATAACTAGCGATAATTTCGTCGAATTTCAAGTTACTACTTCGTTAACCTAAAGTAATAATTAACAAAATTCTGTACCTGTGGCTGATCGATCACGAATGACGTCGCGCTACGTTGTTATTGTGATTAGTCTGTACTATAAAAAATAAGCTAAATTAACTACTAAATTAATTAATAAACGGACGTTAAATGATGACAGTGAAATCCGCCATATCTTAATTCTTCACTTTCCTACTTACGTTGACCATGTTAGTAAAGTTGGACCCGAAAGTGTCTGTTCTGTTTGTTAGTTGCAATCAGTATTACCAGAATACACTTCCCGGTGTTGGGGAACGAAGTTGATTCACGATGAATCGATCGTGTCTCTGTAAGTACCCGTTCCATTCATTTCTTGTCACGCCTTCGTATCCTCTGACCTGTCACAGGGATGGAGTTACAAACATCATTTGTCCTGGTTCGTAGGCCGTGTGTTTGCAATTACGTTTGCACAATCTACACGTTGTTTGTGATCCTAACAAAAATATTCACGTAATGCGATCCTTTTTCTGAACGATTGCGCTACGTAGGCAGAATTGACGACGTTTCGGATATATTTTCTATAAATATATAGTATGTCGTATTTAATACTCGTATAAATCTTAGGAACATATTATTTTTTTAAGTAGCATAAACGTAATGAGTATAAGTTTTTGTTTATTGCCTGAAGTTTATCTTCGTTGGTTACAAATGAATGAGACGTTAACTAACAAGTCTGTGTGTGTGAGGGTAAGTTAATGAAAACCTCGGATTCGCTGTATTTCTTCTGATTTATTGTTATATTTGTCTTGTGTACATCCTTACATACTTTTTTTAATCTAACCTCATTCTTACATTTTTAAACGACGTTTAGTGAAGAGATAGTTGCTGTAACATGTTATAAATCGAAAGTTTTGCTTTCTGGCATTTTACTCTTTCTTCATATTGCAAAGTAATCTCTCGCTTGCACCAATATTTTGCCTTCGCTGACGCCCACACGCAGGTGGGGTGCTGACTTGCTGGAATCTTCGCATCCCACGTGTTTCCGTCACGCAAAATAGAAGTATTTTTTAAAAAGACAATTATTAAAATGAATAGCTCTGTGGATTTAAATGCAGTAAGTCTTAACATCTGTACCGAAAGATTCACTTCGGGTGATACTTTACAGAAGAAATCGATTTTGTTTGGTAAGTTATTTACTGTTCAATCATATTTCAATCGGAATCTATATTTAATGACACCCCATTTCTTTCGATTACATCTCGAACATGTATTTTCCAATAGTCGATGTCTTATCAGAATGTTATCTTATGATACGATAGACCATACTTAAAAAAGCAGGCACAGATATCAGTCCGCGAGTTATTACAAGAATGAATTGTAAATGCGCTGGTCTTTTTTTCAAAAGACACAGTCCAGTGAAGTGTCTATAAATGGAAAAAAAATATCCGACCCGTAATCCAAGAGAAATTGGGTATTATTCAATATCAATTCTCTTAAAATGCGATTGAATTAGGCCTGTAAATAAAGTACCTATTTCAACATTCAAAATAGAAAATATTTTTCTCCGTTACGAATCAACCGATGTGATTAAATCTTTCGGTACGCGTATTCGGGTGTGTTCCGCACATCGTGTTGAGTTTCGTTTATTATTGTTAACGTCGAAATTTGGACCCGCTGAGGGTCCCGCTCTGTACTCGGCAACTAAAATCGATTTCTGGTTCACAATGAAATATGTTTACGAGTAATTGCCTTCTAATTGCATATCTCAGTGGACTGAAATATGTCGACCTGTTGGAACACGCGGACGAAAAACCGCCTCGAAACATGACATTATAATATGTTGTGCTCGAGTGAAAAATGTTTCTGTTTACAGAGTAGATTAATGCACACTTTATACGTCGACTTAACTTTATTCTATTTCGAGATAGTGCAACCCCGAAGCAGTGTGACCAACGTCACAACGCGCAGAATTGAAAACTGTCATTAGTTTTCCTTGTAGTTTGAGAGATGAGCAGAAATACGGAAACAATTATAGAGCAATTGCATGTGGACTTGAACCCTTTTTCCATTCCCAGGCGATAAACGTAGTTGAAAAGCACAAGAACGTTGTATGTCCTTGTCTCGATTGACGAGACAAGGAATTTGTCGTTGTAGACGTGTAGATCATAGCTGTTAGAATCTTGTGACGTTCCACGCGAAGAATGTGCGCCCCTGGTGCTTCTCCAAGCAACTGGCGGCACTTCTTCATGTGTAACGCGCAACTCTGCACTTGCATGATACTCGTTCACTTTGTGAGCACCGCACTGATGGTTTCTTTTCCTGCTGTTTTGGTTTCAGACGTTCTACCAGCCTCCTTTGATTTGTCCGGCACAGACTCTGCACTCTATCCATATGACCCCGAGCAAGGAATTTTCCGGGACACTGTCTTTCCCCCCGCAACCAACTTGTACCCCTACTTTCTGTTCCCGGGCAACACACTACGTCCACGCCTCTCGCACTTACCCCCCAATCATCTGGCTACGCACACAGACACTCATCTGTCAGTAGAAGATATCGCTCTAGATTACGATGAACCAGATGACAAACTGACTTCTTCCTATTCGGGGTCAATTTCAGTTAAGGTGGTTTCCTCTGGAAACGCGACGCCCATTGAGTCTCAGTTAGAGAATCCTCTAGTTGGCGTTAGAGGCGCCGCTCAGAAGGATAATAACGCCCTAAGGCACGAACTACAATGGAACAACACCCTATTTGACGGAGACGAAGAAGCGAGAGCGCCTAGTATCACTCCAGAGAACGCAAAGGTGCATTCAAGTATGTATCCCATTGCATAAACATTTTCCTGTGAATGTATCTGCTGTCCTCCACTCCGCCTGCACCACCAGTGAAGCCACCCGCCAGGCAGATTGCTTGGGGAACGAAATTTGTCCGCACGATCGAGACACCTTTTTAAGTCGAAGGCGGCTTTGGTGCCCGTTCTGTGTGTGACCAGCTCCAGATGTTAAAGGGCGTTTGCGTTGTTCCCCAAGCAATTTGTAGTGCGTACTCAGATACGACGACCAAGTCCAGCCCCTTACTGCCTTGTGTGTCCCCGCACAACGACCCATGGATGGGAATTTTATATTTTGTGTCTTGTTTGCATGAAGAATACGCATTCTTAATTGTATTTTCTCTGAAGTTTGAATTACTTTATTTCAAGTTGTAATCATTACTTTAAAAAGAATTCCGTCTTCAAACACAACGGTATTAGAAATTCTTCGTGATCATAATCCATAAAATGTGACTCTGCAGTCGTTTTATGCAAAACCAAGATTATGTTTCGATATGTTCTTGTAAATAGCTTAAAATATCCAGTGGCCCTATACTTTGGCATTAGGTTTGTATTTATAATCACGAATTCCGGAGACTTTTACGCTTGCATGTCCATTATTTACATTCACTATAAAAGACTACGCCACAGACTATTCTCACGATAAAATCATGGCTTTTCTTTAGAGTAAAGAACGGGCGTGCTTTGTGGCTTCAGAATTTCTCGGAACTACTTACACGCGCCTTACGAACGGGGGAATTGTTTTTAAGCAGTTTCAGAGCAAAAGATAATTCTCTGCGTGGAAGTCAGTGTCGGCATCAAGAACCACGGAGGTCGTGAAAGGAACGCTCGAGAAGGAAACCGCTGTTCAATGTTCGTTTCAGAAGAAGCGCCCTTAATTGTGGTCGGCTTAAGGTCGCGTGCTAGACGCGTGACGGAGGATGTTTTAAGAGGTTGGCGTACAAAATTTTGAGAGTTGTGAATTGATTCTGCGAATTGACTATTAATTTTTTTATATGGTATTGGCACTGTAGAATTATTAAAACAAAATTAAATACCACTAGAATGAAATATATGCAGTTTCACTTTTCTATGCAGGGGTTTGAAAAGTTCGTGTCCTTTGGTGGGGGGGGGGGGGA